GTGTGTGTGTGTGTGTGTGTGTGTGTGTGTGTGTGTGTGTGTGTGTGTGTGTGTGTGTGTGTTTCAGTTTCACAAGCGCGCTGGGAGTTGGATACTTGATGGTTTGCACCGCCAGCTACCCCAACGTCCTGGCCTTCTGCTTCCTGGACGAGCTGCAGAAGGAGTTCATCGTGACCTATGACCCCAAACGCATCAGGAACGCCGTGCGGCCATACTCCTTCATTGAATTTGGTGAGCTGCACTGGGTTTCACAGCATGTTACAGCCAACTATCACATGGGAGACCTTAGGTACAAATAGATAGGTAGGTAGGTGGATAGGTAGATAGATAAGTAGGTAGGTAGGTAGGTAGGTAGGTAGGTAGGTAGGTAGATAGATAGGTAGGTAGATAGATAGATAGGTAGATAGATAAGTAGGTAGGTAGATAGATAAGTAGGTAGGTAGATAGATATCACTATCACATGGGAGTCCCTATGTATACTAGGTGACACAAGTAAGAGCCGGGAAAACAACATCAGTTTTGGTCATTGTAAACGGCTGCTAAAATGCACAAGTAAGTAATGAAGAAACAAAGGCAGATCCGAGTCATTTCATATGTCGGTGAACGTGTTTAAACTGCCCCTCTCTTGTTTTGCTCCTTCTGTTCTTCAGATCAAAATCTTTTTATTGCGTTTCGAAAATGCATACCCAGTGTTTGTCATTTAGAAATGGAAAGCAAGGAAAATGTAACAGCGAAACTACAACTCAAGATGGAAGTGTATTTAGAGAAATAGTCTAGGCGTTAGCTATTTGGCAAAGTGAATATATTGTAAGCCTCTAATGGACTTTATATTTCTTATGCTTTGTTGATAATTACTATTGTATATTGTACTTTTTGATTATATTATATATATATATTTGTATATAACAGTATGATATTGTATCCGTACCATGTTGTGTGAGACTCACTGTCAAGGAACCTGTTCTAATAAATGTTAAAAAAAGAAATGGAAAGCAAAATATATTTAATGAGACAGTGGTTTTTCTGATTGTATGTACAAAGAGAGATAACAGTTGTGTTGTCTCTCCTCCATAGACAGCTAACTATCACATGGGAGACCTTATATCTACTCTGTCAGTGAACATTTGTAAACGGCCCCTCTCTTGTTTAGCCTCTTGTGTTCTTAGCTCACATTCTGTCGTTGTGCTGTCTCTCCTCCTCAGACACCTTCATCCAGAAGACGAAGCAGCGCTACAACAGCCCTCGCTCTCTCTCCACTAAGATCAACCTCTCCGACATGCAGACGGAGATCAAGCTGCGGCCGCCGTACCAGCTCTCTGACGACGACCTGCGCAGCGTCAACGGCTTCTCACACACATCCTCCAAATACAAAGGCATCGGTAGGACATGAGCTACACACACCCACACAACACCCACACACACACAACACACACACACCACACAACCACACACACACACACAACCACACCACACACAAACACACCACACACACGACACACACACACACACACACACACACACAACACCACACACACACACACACCACACACACACACACACACGCTTATAATACTCTAAGTTCCCTCCTGGGATCATCAACACGTGTTATCTTATCTGGCTATCATTAAAGCTTTGTAAATCACCACAGACACGAGAAGGCTCTACCGCTCTGACTTCATCAGAATGACTGTTATATACTGTTGCAGCAGTATAAGGGACAACTCTGGAGGCCTTTGAAGCACCTGGATATTTTTTCATATTGCTTTTGAGATGTTTTTGATCAGTTCACATCAAACTTGTAGATTCCTAAATAACTATTTTTAATTACGTGTTTGAATATTGCACGGTTCCATATTAGGCTTCAGTAGAAGCTGCTGGGACTCAGCAGCTCTACTGAAGCCTTCGAGTAAATCGCCAGAACGACGACACCTCCTTATCTCAAAAGGAGATAAACAAAAAATATAATATACAATTATTATAATGTTGCATAAATTAGTCCTCTCTGCATTTCTGCCGCTGGGCAATGCTAATGCTAATAATGCTAATGCAGGATAAAAATGCGGCTTCACAAAACTCTTGTGGAGATTTACGGGGCTGTTGCAACTCCTCCCCATGCCATCAGAATAGGAACCTTTTTCTCCCCACGAAAGTCCCTGCCTCTAGCAGGGACTGAAAGGGGATAAAAAATGTCTCATGAACCTCATTTTAATTCCGCCTCCTTTTTGTGCGACGCGACATTTCGGAACTTATATCGGAACTAAAGTTGGAAAAGTACTGCGGTGTGAACGCGGCTATTGCCAATACATTCTGTATGAGCAGTACTTAGTGGTTCAGAAACTCCTCTCCTTTCCAGTCCGACGGCTGCTCCTGTGTCTCGGCCTCATCTGCCCTCTCTCAAGAACAACCCCCCGCTTCGTACTCTCGTCCACCTGACCCCCCCCCCCCCCAGCTAAGCGGCTGCTCCGCGGTCACTTGGAGCCGCTCTGCTCTCCTGACATCT